ATCCAGAATCCAGAAGAAGTAGAAGAAGAAAAAGACACGGAGCTCCAACTGGTCAAAGAAGAGGATAAGCTGAGCTTCAAATTCAAATTTTTGTCATTGTCATCCTTTGAGATTTTCAAAGCGAAGAGTCGGAAAATTGAGCATTCCTATGTAAGTCCTAGGAGTGAAAATGTGAAGAAGATGAATTATCACCATCCAAGCTTCAACGATTGAACACAATGATGGCGTCGTGCCGCGACGTTAAATGAGGCGCTTCTTGGGAGGCAACCCATGCAAGGTATGTTTACTTATTTTATTTTATTTTTGCACTTTTCAAAAAAAAAAAAATCGTATCACCCCATTCGAACCCAACACCTCAAACTCTTGAAAAAAAATGATCATCTTGTTCCCATCATCTTCATCTTACTCCACTTTCCTCTTACTTCATATACACTCTCATCCATAAATTCTTGGAAAACATCACCCCTCTCTCAAACCACAACCTCATATCTTAAAAAAAAGATGGCGAAAACGAGCACTAGGGACATTGCTCAGTTTAGCAAGGGGGAGAAGACTTTTCATCATACATATGGTATTTCTTCTACAGTGTACTTAAAAAAAACAAAAAAAATGTTAAAAAAAAAGATAAAAAAATAATAAAAAGAAGAAATGTCAGTTAGGTTGAAAACCCGAACGGGCAACCTAAGCAAAAATGACAAAAAAAAAAGATGAGTGAGCCGGTGAGGAAAAAGAAAAAAAAAAAAAAAGAGGCTAGGATGAAAACCCAAAAACGGGCTCCTAATGCAAAATGAGAGAATTAGAGGAAAATATTTTATCATGCAAGATCTCTTTACTCTACGCAAGAGGGATGAAGAAAGAAGAAAGGAATGAAGATATTTATTCACATTTGTATGTTGATACTCTTGAGTTATGGTTGTGTGAAACATTTGCTTGAGTCATTTGCTTGTTAAGACATTCTGAAGCTGAATTTGATTTTACTCGGGACGAGTAAAAGGCTAAGCATGGGGGAGTTTGATATGCACTATTTCGTAGTGCATAAGTTTGTTATTTTAGTATTGTTTGATTGTTGTTTTTAATTGTTTAGTTTAGTTTGTGATGTACTCTATAGATTTATGTTGTAGGTTTTAATTTGTATTTTTAGTGTATATTTTGTTGTAAGTACCATAAGGGATGCAAGGAAGTATTATAGGCACCAAAGGAAGGCAAGATGAATGGTGGAAATAAATTCTGGTAGCAAACCCGGTCGGGTTGAAATATAACCCGGTCGGGTTGGAAGTGACATACGAAGCCAAAAGGAAGCTACGCACCAAAACCCGGTCGGGTTGGTATAAAACCCGGTCGGGTTGAGTTGACAAGAACAAAAGAACGTGTCCAAGATCAAGAGAACGTGGGAAATATCCGATTTGATACGTAACCCGGTCGGGTTTTGACCCAACCCGGTCGGGTTGAAAGTGATTTCAGCACCTTCCAAGCAATTAAGGATACCCGATCGGGTATTCTACATACCCGGTCGGGTATCAGACCCAGCCACCTCAAAATACCTATAAATACACCCCCTTTTCCTCCCATTTATTAAATCCCTTCTTCCATACTCTTAAGCTCAGATTAGAATAGTATTTCTTTTATATTTTTATAGTATGTTTAGTCTCCAAATGAGGAGCTAAACTTCCATTTCTTGGTGTTGCTCTTGAAGCGTGTTGATTATTAAAGTTGTGAGTTATTTTCTTAACTTCTTCCCTTGAATATTAATTATTCTCTTAATCTATCTATATATTAATGTTGGGGAGTGTTGCTAAGATGACAATTAGTTAACATCTCGACATTAGTTATAGTAGTATTTATTTTCTTCCTCTATATATTAATGTTGGGGAGTGTTACTAAGATGACAATTAGATAACATCTTGACATTAGTTATAGTAGGATTATTCATATTTAATCTTCTTCCTTGAATATTAATTCTTCCCTTGATCTATCTCTATGTTAATGTTGGGGAGTGTTGCTAAGATGACAATTAGTTAACATCTCAACATTAATTACTACTAGAAACGTTCAACGAACCGATGGTTAATCGTTGATGGTTTCACAAGTAAGTAACTTCGGTTTATTAATGCACGGTCGTGGTTAATAAACTTAAGAGGGATTAATTTTGTTGGTTAAACCGAAACCGTTGTGTTGAGGTTATCAATCTCAATTGATTTCATCAAGGAGTTAAGAGATTAAATGCTACTATCAAGTCGGTATATGGCGGTGTTCTATACTTGACTAATAGTAAGGGTTATTAATGAACGGTCGTTGTTAATAACTACCCTCGATGAATTGGATATACTCCTCGATTGAGTATTCGAGAGGGGATAAGTTATAGATATAACAATGATCGACTAAAATATATCAACAAGTGGAAAGTAGCAATGCCAAGTCCTTTTTATCTTTGAATTAAATCTCATATAAGTCCTTCATCTTAGTATTTAATTAATTAAATTCCAACAATACCAAAACCCCCCTTTTATTTACTAGTTCATAAAAAGAGAATTATTTCTTTCCCTGTGGATACGAACTCTACTTCACTATACTACGTATTAGTGCTAGTATTGAATTTATTTTGAGTGCACTCACGACAAAGTGCACGTCACTTGGTTCGAATGGGATGGGTTGGTGGGTGATTGAGAATGCTTCCTTTGGCATTTCTCATAATAATACATGGGAGAGGGTCCCTTCCTCTTTCAAATTTGTCCCCCAATCACTTCCCTCTCCTTTCCTTGCCTTTCATGCGGCTCTCCACACCCCTTGCAAGACCAAAATTCGTGGGGTGGCCCCCACATATGTGGGAGGTCATCCCTTTATGTCCCCAAGTGTACACTTGGTCCCGAAAGTTGTATTTTCCGGACTGTTTTAACTATATTTCATTTTATCGGGTTAAATGAAATATCTATCATTCTTCCAATTAATATTGGCTATAAGAATGAGTGTATATTCCCAACTTTTAATTTGATGGTCTCCATAATTTATTATGGCTTTTTATCTGATATTACCTCGGTACCGATAAATGGGCTTCACATGCACAACTGGTTGCTCACAAAGGTTCTATGGCCCAACAAGGACATCCACCATTATACACATATTATCTTGACCCAAACGAATATAATATGTGGTCCCGAACATATCGGGTGGCCCCCACTTCCGGTGTGGGCCCCACGTGAATTCTATTATTCACGTAAGAGAAATGATAAAAATTTACAATTACGTAAAATGCGTTTATTCATTTCTCGGGGTTCAATACATAATTTGATAAAGTACAATTACTTGGGGGCGGTGTTACAGTGTATCACAACAAGATGGTAAACTCTATCAAAGTTGCTAACAGGTGGTTGAAAGGGATAAAAAATCACTCAAACTGGAAGAACAAAGAGTTTAGACAAAAGGTTTGCTCTGATGAAAGGTTTCATGTGAGTAAAAGGCAGGCTTATAGAGCTATGAGCAAGGCAAAAAGGAAGCTGAGAGGTGAAGATGATGAGTACTTTAAGAAAATTTGGTGTTATGTTGCTGAAATTAGAAGAAGCAATCCACTAACCACATGTGTTGTGAAGTTAAGTGAAATCATAGAGCAAGATGGACAACAAAGATTCTTGAGGATGTATATGTGTTGGGAAGCATCTCGAGAAGGGTTTAAAAGCTACAGACCAAGACTAGAGGTTGATGGAACTCATTTAAAAAGCATGACAGGGGGCAGTTATTAGTTGCAGTGGGTGTAGATGCAAACAATAACATCTTTCCTTTGGCATATGCCATTGTTGAGGGTGAAACAAAGGACTCTTAGCGTGGTCATGGTTTCTAAATTTATTAAGAAGAGATGCTGATATCACAGAAGACAGTGAGCATCTATTCACATTCATGTCTGATAAACAAAAAGGGTTGTTTCAAGTTGTGACTGAACTGTTTCCAAAGGTTGAACATAGGTTTTGTGTTAGACATTTGCATGGGAACATGAAGGTGGTTGGGTTTCCTGGTAAAGCAATCAAAGATACCTTATGGGAATGTGCTAGAGCTTGTACTGTGAATTTATTTAACTCTGCTATTGTCAAGGTAAAGGATATAGATGAACAAGCATTCGAGTGGCTGGCAGATAAAAATCCTAGAGAATGATCAAAGTCTCATTTCTCTACACACTCCAAAACTGACATGCTTACAAACAACATATGTGAGTGTTTCAATGGAGTGATTTTAGAAGCAAGACAAGAGGCCATTCTGGTGTGCTTTGAATCCATAAGGAAATTGTTGTCAACAAAAATCTTTACCAGTGGAGAAAGGGCAAAGAAATGGACCTCTAACTTGTGCCCAAGAATAGTTAAAAAGATACAAGAAATTGAGAAGTTTGAAGCAGGTTTGATAGGGTATCAGTGTGGTGATAATGAGTTTGAGATAACTGGGATGAGTGGTACTCAACATGCTGTAGATTTGGAAAAGAAAATGTGCACCTGCAGGCTATGGGACCTAACTGGCATTCAATTCCTTGCAAGCATGCCATTTGTGTTATTTGGTTGAAGTTTGGAAAAGGTCATGTAGATGATTATGTCCACCCATGTTACACTAGCGAAATGTACTTGAAGATATATGGTGGGTCAATAAAGCCAATGGCGGGTCCAGATGAGTGGCCTATTTGTGAAAGAACCCCTCCACTACCACCTGTGTATAATGCCAGACCAGGAAGACAAAGGAAGCTTAGGAGAAATCAGCTGCTGATGCAGTGCTCAGTACAGATGGAGTGAAGGTTTCCAGAACACATTTTAAGCTGCATTGCTCAAAGTGTAAGAAAGAGGGCCATAATAGAAGGAGGTGTCCAGATGATCCTAATAACAAAGAGAAACTGGTAAAATATCCCATATTATACATTAACATGCTTTTTTTTGGATGTTTTTCTTTTTCATTACCACTCTGTATGCACACACTTATGTATAACCACATGTTGTTGTTTTCTTTTGTACACTCAGTTGCAACCTAGGAAAAGAAAAAGAAAATCTGCACCAAGGCAGACTGTGAATGAAGGTAATGCAGCAGCTAGGGTTGATGGAGCTGATGGATTTGATAAGGTGGATGGAGATGATGGATTTCATGAGGTGGATGGAGATGCTGGATCATCTAGGCTTGATGGAGCAGATAGGGTTGAAGAGTCATATGAGGACAACCTTATGGATATCCATTTGAACTTTGAGGAGGCCCCATCTATGGAAACTGAATTTCCCATGGTTGTTTCAATTGAAGACACATTAATGTTTAGTCAGCAGACTAAGCAAGGCAGTGAAGAAGCTGAAAAAGGGAGTGAGGAGAGTGAAGAACACACTGATCAAGACGCTGAAGATGACTGCAACCCTGAGAAAGAGCTGAGAAATCAACATGGGGTCATAATAAGCTATGGACCACCTCCTCCATCAAAGACCTCAACAACTGTGACCTCAGAACAGGGAAGAACCAAACCTCAAAAGCTTAAGATAAAAAAGGGACCAACCAATTTCACCAGATCAAAAACCTCTTTCAAGTCTATATTTTTTGGAATGATGCAGACCCAATAGACCTGGAGTAGTGTTTCAGGGTTCTTTAGGATGGATGTTTAGGTTTTTATTATGTAATTTCAAACACCCAGACTGTTTTTGTAATGATGGAGTGTTGTAATTTCAAACACCCAATCATGAATCCTTAGGATGGAATGATGTTTTTGTAATGGTTTATTATGGTTCAGCAATGGACCCAACTTTATGTTGCTTATGTAATGTTTTTGCAAGACCACCTTATGACATGTGTGTGTGTTTACAGCTTCTTTGTTTTGACTTTGTATACCATATTCAGATAGAAGTATATGTGTGCTTTTAGGTTCATTCTTTTGAGTTTGTCTTGATGTTGCTGTTATGTTTGATCCTTGTCTCAAGTATAATGTCCTTATGAATTTGGATGCCATGCTCAGATTGAAAGCTATGTGTGCTTTCAGGTCCTTGTTGATAGTCATGTTATACAGTAGTCATGTGCTTTCAGTAGTGTTAACCATCTTCAGATTCTTTTATGTGTGCTTTCATGTTATACATTGGTGTCTTAGGATTCAGGTTCTTTTATTTTTGCTTTCATGTTATATACACAAGTACCTTAGGATTGAGGATTCTTATACAGTACTTATGACCTCTGTTTTAAAAATCGTTCTAGGCATCCGACTAGTCCCCGCCTAGGCGGTAGGCGGTGGTCGGGCGCCCCGATTTTTGTCTAGGCGCTCCGACTAATTGGTTAGCCGCCTAGGTGAGTTAGTCGGGCCTATGGCGCCTAGTTGCCCGCCTATAGCGCCTAGTCGACCGCCTAGATTCACCAAACATTACTTTACTTTTCAATTTTAATTTTCTAAGTGTTATATATACTTTAACTTTAACCATAAATATAAAGAAATGAAGTTGCAAATTAAGATAAACCTATATATGCTTGTACATATACCCAAATTTTTATCATTATTTATATTTATAACATTATGAAGTTAAGTGAGTAGTTATCATGTTTGTTAATGCATATATATATGTTTGGCACACACAAAAATACAATATTACTTATCATATTTATGCAAAAGTATAGATAAAAATGAAATTTATATGTCTCCGACTAGTCCCCGCCTAGGCGCCCGCCTAGCCGCCTAGGTGCTAGGCACTGGGGTGGCGCCCGACTAGCGCCTATCGCCTTTTTAAACATTCCTTATGACAGTCCTGTTATACACCCTCCACATGAATAAACATATGCTAATCCATCAACGTAACACCCTATCATCACTTGTAAACATAACATTCATCCCTTCAAAATCTGTTACAAGTACACTGACCAAGCCTCATTACTACATGATATAAAGATACATAAAATCCACACCATACAGTCCCCACAAGATAACCAACTATTTGATATATGTGTACATGCAGGGGCGGAGCCAGAAAAATGACTCAGCGGGGTCGAAATCAAATTTACATAGAATGAAAACGGTAGATTATTTTTAGACAATACCCGAATTGAATGTAGCTTAGATAAATAATAGTTTAAATGAAACTAATAGAGTATATGTAGTTAATATACTTCGTATATGTCACATATATTATAAACTTGTTTTATACAGGTTAAGTTGAGTACCTCGGATGAGACCCATTGTCTTACCCTAGTACTCTATGGTTCTCTTCGATCTTACTCGGTTTAGTATCAAGATTTCTTACTAGAAAAGAATCATTTATTGAGTAGGCACTCGTAGCAGTAAGATATGTTGTCTTTGCTCTGTCCCTAAGTCATGTCACGTAAGTAACGAGTGAATTACACGCTATTTTGTGAATATAATTAATATTACGCATCACAATTTTATTAATTTCAAACTTAAATAATGCTGATTTTGTAGAAGTCATAACTTTTTACTCGTAATGAGTTACGAGAGCCATAATATATCAAATCGAAGAAAATTCAGAGCTCTACACTCCTAAATTTTCAGCGGGGTCGGCTGACCACCCTGACCCCCCAGTAGCTCCGCCCCTGTGTACATGGAAACAAAGACAACAACAATTGCTACAATGCACACAATCATCCTGATTTTAGGGGCTCTTGTCTTCAGTTTGCATTTCTTCTTTTCATACCTCTGTAAGTCTTCTACTTTCATCTACCATGTCTGCATTTGGTCTTCATAGGCATTCAATTTTTTAAGCAACCCACGAATTATTTTTTGTGATCTCTTGCACATTAGAGGATCAAACCAGTCCATGAAACCACAATCCTGACATCTCTGCAAATACATTATGGTCATGATTAATGTGCTCAAATAACCAAAACCATTCAATGTTCAAAATACTCCATTACCTCACTTCCCAGGCATTTCCAAAACCTTCTCCCACAGTAATCATGTTTCCATGTTGTCAAAAGTTTCAATTGTTAGCCACATCTATAGTGCTTCACCGGAATCCACTCTCCATACTCATACTGCCCTGGTTCTTAGCACTTGAGTGGTGAGAACCACGACAAAGTGATACGAAGGAGATGAGAGGTGAGGGGCCTGCGATTTAGGGTTCTATCCAGCCTTAGAAGAAGATGAAATGGGTTATGTACTGGTTCGATTATTTATGAAGGGGAAGTTACGAAGGAGATGGAGGTAGGTAGGAAGAAGTCAAAACGGGCTTGAAATGACTAAAACAACCCTCACTTAAATGTTAAAGTTTTAATTCCGTCGGAGATGTCGCCAGAAGGACGAGGATTGGTAAGGAACGAAAACGAAAGGACAAAATTTGGCGAAATTGAAGGTCAGGTACAAAATGTGGAAGTGGTATAATAGTCATGGGACCAATAGTGGAATTTTTTCTAATCTTTATCTAGTATACATTCATGTTGGGTCATAGAAATAACATATAATTGGTCGGTTGATCAAAAGAGATCCATATACCAATATTGATAATTTAACAGATAACAAATCGTAATAAATTACGGAGGCCATTAAATTAAAATTAGGAATACATATCCATCATAGAGGCCATAATGATTAAGAGAAAGATATATATATTTCACTTGGCCCCAAAAAATGAAATATAACTAAAACAGTTCGAGAAATACAATTTTTGAAATCAAATGTAAAATTCGGAATACAAAGGGACGACATTCCACATAAGTGGGGTCCACCCCACAAAATTATGGTCTCAAAATCAAATTGAGACAAGAAAATAATACTATGAGGGAGAGTCATGGGCTAGAAATTGAAAGGTTAGGTGAGAGAGGACTTGAGGTGGACCTTCTCCTCTTATTGTGCAAAAGAGACAAAGGGATTCCCTTCACTCCATCCCTATCCCCCAGCTCATCCAAGCCATCCATATGAGAGAAGAAGCTCTGCAAACTCACCCCCATAATCCAAATTCGAACTCAAGCAAAGAGGAGTCCAAAAGGTAAGAAAGAGTATGAAAAGATAGGAAAAAGGTGAGTACTCAAGGTAAGGATCCCCATAACAATTTTTATCTTCTTATCAAATATCATATGACTTATATATCATATGAAGGATCCATATGATTTTTCTATATGTTTAGAAATATAGAATGAGGGGTTGGAAGGTGGTTCTAAGTCCAAGAACGGACTTAGAAGCCAAAGTGTCCAGTTCACCGGAAAATAATCTTTTCGCGGTTAATCAAATTAATATGGTTTTTGGGATGTCAAAATCTTGTTAGGAACTTGTCTAAGGTGTTCCTAGTACCCTCACAGAATTGAGATAGTCGCCGAAGGTGTCGGCGGAGTTCAACAAAGTTCGTCGGAGTTTCGTCGGAGTCCAACCAGAAAGGGTAGAACTTCTTAAAGCTCATTCGAGGTGAGTTGATGATTTAATGTCTTATAACTCTTGGTTTAAGTATGAGATTACCTAAGTAAATGTTACTTTAAGTCTAGTATGTTTTGATTTGACACAAGAATCACAAATATCTGCTTTCAAAACATGGGAAAAATTACTTAAAAATTATTCTCGCGCAACTTTGACTTAGACAAGTGGCCCAATCTTTTTTTGCCAAACTTCAACATCAACTTTAGAAATCATTGCGTTGCTACTTGCTGCTATCGAAGCCATACAATAGAGACCACCTACGCATTTACCCATTTCAATCAGGTTCTTCGATCGTAAGTCATGCACAACACAAAAATCCGGAAAAAGCATTACCACGCAATTAAGGTCTTTGGTTAACTGGCTTACAGACAGCAAGTTGCAGTTGAAATCTGGGACATATAAAACATTTTCAAGTTTCATCCCATTTGGCAGAGTGCATCTTCCTGTTCCTTTGACTTGAATAGCCCCTCCATTTGGTATAATGAAAGGTGTTTTACATTTGCCTTCTCATTTGATTTGAAAAACGAATCTCGTTGCATGCCATATTATCGGTAGCACCCATATCAATGATCCAATCTTTATTGTAATTTTTCTTAACAGCCATGTTTGCAGAGGATACTGATTCAGTATTTGCCCCACTAGAAAAGAACTCCATTAGTCGTGGATATTGTTCTGCATCCAGTCCTAGAATGGGACAGATTTCGGTGTTGACATAGGCTTCATTTAGCTTCCCTTTATCTCATTTTGATTTACCTGGCACCATTCTAGGTATCCCATTCTTTTACAACAACCATCTCTGTTATGTTTGCTCCTCCCACAGTGAGTGCAATGCTCTATTTCTTTAGTGTTAGTCTTCTTGGTCTCTCTTTGTGATGTTTTATTTCGCTGCAGGTTTGAATCATTATTGTTTCTGCGTCGAATAGGGTTATAGTCTTGAAAGGCAGCCGCATCAGTACTAGTTCTTTTCATTGAAGAGACGTTTCTTTGTTGTTCATCTTCAGCTACGAGATGATAAGTTGTACCAAGGGATAATGTTGGTTTTGTTGTGAGAATCTGTGTCTTGAAGGTTGAA